AAATATCTTTATTTTAAAACAACTTTGAATTTTTCTTATCTATTAATAAAAATCTTTTTAAAAAAATCGATAATAATTCGTCGAAGAATTTTATAAAAATTTAATTACAAAAAAGAAAAAAAAATTCATTTATAAAAAAACAAAAGAAATTAATTAATAAACGAATTTAAACTCGAGAAAAATAGCAATTCACATTCTCACTTTCAATTATTATTATTATTATTATTTTTTAATTCGTCAAATGAATTACTTATATTTTATTTTTAGCAGTTCTTCTTCTTCTTCTTCTTTTTTATCAGGTTCACATTAGGTTTTCTTCAATTTCCCATTACAGTTTTTGTTTTATCAAAGTATTGACTATGTACTCTATCTAATGTAATCGTATAGATTATAAAAAAGCAATCGATTCTGTCTGCTTCACGTGATGTATGAGACTGTCACGTACGAAAAGCTTAGATATTTACATCTGGCGATGAATCGATTGCAGACGTTTTCAGATCTTTTCGTTTCAGTTATATCAATCAACTTTTATCCCGCTTTTAATCGTAACATATTCGAATTTTATCCGTTATCTATCTAATTAGTAATTTATTTTTACTCCAAAAAAGCTTTTCTTTAAAATTAATTCGAATTTATGGTGTATGACGTATCAGTTTTCGTGTTCATTAGTCGCTTTAATTTATCTTTTCTTCTTCTCTATTCTAAATAATTAATCGCTTACTTGTGAAATATTATGCTAGAAACTGTATATATTTTTATATAATTAAAAGATAAATAAATTTTAAAAAATTAGCAATAATCTTACTCTTGATATCAAACGTTAAGATACGAAGCGTGTAATTAAAGATAAGAGGAAGACGTATAAACATTGACACTGTAACAAACAATCGTTAACCGTTTTATAAAAAAAAAAAAGCGGATAAATCGTCAGGAAAATATTAACTGTCCAGTTGTTAGTTTTATTACTGTCATTCTCTGTACAACTGTCACCATTTTTTATTTCAAATGGTGGCTAATTCCTGTCTCTAACATCGTTCTTCTAGCATCGATACACATTACTTGTTAGAATGAGTCTTTGTTGCGATTTGTAAATCCCCCGGTGTCTGAAACAACACTTTTCTGGATTTTACTTTAAGAAAAATTAGGCATTCATCAACAAAAACTGCACAAACTCAATTTAAAGTAAGAAGAATTAAGCTTTTTTCTAGTAAAGAAACAAAACTATACAAACTCACTTTGTTATCCGTAAATTATTCTGAATATAAATTCGAAATTTGCATTATAAATTTTAAGAAATTATTATTTTGGTAGAAAATAAATGAAACATCACACGTATTAAAGATTATAAACGAATATTAGCTATAATGTAATATTGAAAGCCATTATCTCTTCGTAAAACGTACCGCTATAAAATGTAATAAATAACACGTGGTTTGAATAATTTAAAATTCTAAAACGTTAGTGAGTTGTTGTTAGATGTATGTGTTATGATTATCGTAATTATCATAAATTACAACACTTCATATTATTCTAATAGATATATTGGCAAATATGTTTCTCTATAATGATGCAACTTGAATGAGCGATTAAGTATACCACGATAAATACCACATGTTGTATCAACATGACCGGTGTAAGACTGTTAATGACTTCTCGATACATCTCTCAAACACATAACACACAAATACCGATTGCTACTGATTGCATAGGCTTTATATCGGGTCAAAACACTCAGATTCTCCTAGTGAATACTTCTCGGCAAGTCAGATAAGCATTGCTAAAAAGACATCTTTACAGGCGCACGTTTGCTTAATGTGTCTTGTCTAATTCATATTAAATGATTGCGTAAAGATTATTGCAAGTTTTAAATACGAATGTATTTAATATAGTGAACACAAAATACAAATTAATAATAAATAACGAAAAAGCTTTAAATATATACAAAAAAAAACCTCAGATTATATTTTAAGAAGCGTGTTTTTTATGTAATTCTTTACATCTTAATTATCAATTAAATTCAAAAGTTTATTTTGGAAGTTTCGATTAAATTTAATGAAGTAAAGAAGATAAAAGAGGAATCTAACTATAAATTAGAGATTATAGCGATAATAAATTCAGATGGTAGTATTGATGATAGTAAGCTTCATAAATACAGAAGGTATTCTTTTATCCTAGAAGCGAACAGCGATTTCACCAGAAACACTTATCTTCTATCAAATGGCTAGACTAAAGATTTTTATTCCGTCAAACGATTAAAAAAGAGTAATGGTTAAAACGTCAACATAAAGATCCTTCTTCTTTGATAAGCTATTTTCCGAATAGATCCATTCAAAAGTTTACTGAACTCTGCATACATGAAATCAAACCTAACCGTGTGGAAAATAAGATGAATGTTACACATTTACTCCCCATCTGTCGTTTAGAAGGAACGAGACAGAAGCACTCACAAAAAAAAAAACAAGCAAAAAGAAAGGCAGAAAGTTGAAGCAAGATGTAATTACCGAATAAATCGATGGACAATGCTGCGTTTCTGGTAAAGCGGAACAAAAGAAACAGAAACAAACACCGCCTTGACTTTGGTTAGTTCAGTCACGACATTGTAAGCTACGTGAATAAACTTCTATCGTGGATAGATGTCGATGAGAAGTTAGCAATGCAGAAACTAAACTTGTGACTTAAAACGACTCTCATTTTCTAGAGAAAAAAAAAATAAGTCATTCGAATACAACAAATTTAAATTCCTATTTTTAAAAATACGATTTATAAACGTGTATCGATTTATACTTTCCTTCTAGCGACTGACACAATTAAATTCGTATAGTAAATTCAGAGTTGCTGTATTCTTTTGGGAACTGGCAAATGTTCGCAGCAAGATTCTGTAAATGTTTGCTCCTTCTCTATCATTTAAACCTTTCCTACAAATTGTTTAACGCACATGCCAATTTATTCTGTCATTTTGACATGTTCTACATACATTAACATAAAGTAGCAATTTCAATTAAGAAAATCTGTTAACAAATTACATTAAAATATATATATATATATATATATATATATATATATATATATATATAACATTTTGACGTTTATAAACTTTTTCCACTTGACACAACATGCTTTTACTTTTTGATTAAAGCAATTCTGTTATTGTGTAAAGACAAGTTTTACAATCTGTTTATCACCTTAACGACTACCTTAATAAATTTTCGATTTTATCTTATTTTATTAGGGCACGTTAAGTGAATTTTATATTATCTTTGCTTTTATAGGGATGTACGGTGCGGTTGTAAAGATCTGGACGATTAACAGGCTTTAATAGTAAAGTTTCGAGTGTAGACTAGGCTACGTTCACTACAATTTAATACAGTATAGCTCCATAATAGTGCATCAGAATGATTTTTAACATTAAAAATGACATGTTTTATGATAGAAAATATATATTTACTTGTTAGAAAATCATATAAAAGTAATAAATTAGAGTTTACTAATATTTCTCTCTCTCTCTCTCTCTTTTTTTTTTGGTAACGATTGTCAAACAATTAATAAACTTCAAATCTTTATAACGAGTTTATTAAATAATTTAACTTAATTAAAGTAAACGAAATTGCGGCCTTTATAATTAAGTTACTAATTAGAAAGAGGAAAGTTGAAAGCACAGTCGAGTGTGACGAAAACTAAATTTGAGAATTCCATGTTTAGGCAAGGGAACTTTAATTAGCTGTATTGTACTTTCTGTAGAAATAAATAATATTAAAAACATAATAAATTCAAGAAAAATATTAATAATTAAACTGTGAAATCTTCTATTTATAATATTCATACATAGAATTTCAATAAAATATTAAAACCTGTGTAAACCGAAATGGCGAATTTTTTCCGTCTTAGACAGGTTTTGCAGTATTTAATTATAGATATATATATATATTTGATAATTTTATCGAGGTATCTCGGTCAGACAACTTTTTTCAAATGGAAATTATCTGAGAAACAAGAAGTGATAGACTCCAGATTGTGTTATAACTTCTATTTCGATGCAAAACTCGTCGCTAGTAATAAAATATTTACAGGATTAGAATGTTTTAAATTTTTTATTACGTGAAACTATTCTCGGATCCTCTCTATCTTCTCTAAATTCACCAAAATTCTATCTAAACTTGGATCGAAATTGAATTTCAGTTGATTTTTGAAGATACTTTCACTCTATATTAACAGATAGGATTGAAATATCTTCAAAATCTCTAATAGAATAATTCATTTTGATTTTTTCCTTATTAAAATTTTTCCTAAGAACTAAGCAGCTATTAATTCCGAACTGAAATTCGAGGGAGGAAAGAAAAAAACATAAGAAAGAACGACAAAAAATCTTTTAGATTAAACTGAAATTTTTATGTAAAAATGACCAGTGTTACTAATGTAGCAGCTGAATATTTTATACGTATTTTACTGTTGTTTTGTCGCTGTTTACATAGAATAAACAATAGAAAATATCAATAAGGAGGAGGAGGAAGAGGAGAGAGAGAGAGAAAAGAGGGGAGAAAAAAATATATTTTATATTTTCGGATATAAGTATTTGCATGTAAAATTTAGAGAATAAATCAGAATGGAAAAATAGAATAAACTGGTACTATTATCTTTTTATAATTATTTTTTGTTTGGCAGACATTTGTCTATGGAAAGGAATTTGGAAGAGTGCCATTTGGCCCGATGCCAATGTTACACATCCACCCCAAAGCTTTACCCCGTTGCCAAGGAAACGAGCAGGTGGTGAGGTAGTCAGATTCACTCAATTAATAATTGGCAAACAGTTTTCTCTCGTACTTGACGCTCTTTTCCGTTTACCATCTTCACACCAGACAGCAAAGTTACTACTTAAATATATTCACTAACTCCTCTCTCTCTATCGGAAATCCAATCACTATTTAGAATTAAAAACAAGGACAAAAAATATAAAAAAACACCCCCCATTCCCTGAATTATAAAATTATAGATTTCTCATTTACCTTTTATATTTCACCTGTTCAAACTTATCAGATACCAGCAGAAGGTTTACACATTTCATTTTTTTCATTTACTTTCGCGTGTTTGTGTGTATATACGTGTCTTTTCCGTGTGTTTATTCTTCAAAACGTAGTCCGATTAATCGATAAAGGTATCGAAAACTAGAAAATTAACACTGTAATAATTGAATATTTAATAAAAAAAATAATAAAAAATAAGTATATGTATCGATTAATCTTATTAGTTACTTCGATAAACGAAAGTTTACTCGTCTCACCTGAGAGAATAAAAGGGATGAAAAGTGAACAGGTGTACATGAAACGGATATTGATGCATTAATATTTTAAAGAATTTCTTCCGAATTTTTGATTTTAACGCTTGATATATAAAGAGGAAACTGTTTTTTTTTTTCCTTTCTTATTGTAAAGGAACACGTGTTTATGAAACAGACAGATGTTTCGATATCGGCCTTTTCAAAATAAACATCAAGAAACTGATTGACACGTGAGATTGACAACAAATACGTGTGCGTGATCCATTCTTTCCTGTAAATGACGTCATTTATCGAACATGTCCCCGTTAAAAATAACAGCGAGTCAGTTACAACTGCCTGAAAAACACAACATTAATCTTAAAATTCCATATAGAAAATTAAAAAAATATAATAAACCTATTTAATCAATTTACTAAGTTAAATTTTATTTTTCTTACTTTATGTCAATTGTTATATATAAAACTTTTTGTAATAATTTATTTATTTTTGCTAATAGCTAATTAATTTAATTATAACTTTGCAAATAAATTTTATATATCATTAAAATCATTAATCAAATAAATAATTTTTGTATTAAATATAAAATATTTTTATATTTTATTGAATTAATTAATATTTTAAATAAAAATGGTTAATAGTAAAGTTTCGAGTGTAGACTAGGCTACGTTCACTACAATTTAATACAGTATAGCTCCATAATAGTGCATCAGAATGATTTTTAACATTAAAAATGACATGTTTTATGATAGAAAATATATATTTACTTGTTAGAAAATCATATAAAAGTAATAAATTAGAGTTTACTAATATTTCTCTCTCTCTCTCTCTCTTTTTTTTTGGTAACGATTGTCAAACAATTAATAAACTTCAAATCTTTATAACGAGTTTATTAAATAATTTAACTTAATTAAAGTAAACGAAATTGCGGCCTTTATAATTAAGTTACTAATTAGAAAGAGGAAAGTTGAAAGCACAGTCGAGTGTGACGAAAACTAAATTTGAGAATTCCATGTTTAGGCAAGGGAACTTTAATTAGCTGTATTGTACTT